GGCAACCACTTCTTCTTTTACCAGAAAGAAGACAAATATTCTCTGCCTTTCAGGCAGCACTGCAAGTGTATCAAAGAACACCATGGTGTTTTTAAATTGCTCCACTGTCGGCTAAACCAGCTCTACGTTAACAATATTTGAAACTCATTTCTAAAGTGCTTTGCAAGTTCACGGAATTTTGAATGTCTGTTACATAATCCCCCAAAGTTCCAAGACAGTTTAATGAAAGGGACTGAATTCTACTCCTACATTTTTCAGACGAGGAAATTGAAACCCAGAAGGTCAGAAGCCAGTTAGCTAGTGCTGAAACGTGGGTCTCTTGAGTCCTGGGACACCCGAGCTTCTTGACTGCAGTGCCCCCAAAAAAGGAGCACCCAAAGAGGGGCTGTTCTTGTTTATAATTGTATTGAGATTTAATTCATATGCTATACAATTCACTCATTTAAAATGTGTAATTCAGTGGCTTTTAGTATATTCAGAGGGTTGTACATTCATCACCACCATAAATTTTAGAACATTTTCATTACACCAAAAAGGACCACATCCCTTAGCTGTCAGCTCCCAAACATCCATTCTCCCCAGCTCTAAGCAACCATTAATTGACTTTCTGTCTCTGTGAATTTGCCTCTTCCCTTCATATAAATGGAATCATACAGATGTGTTTCTTTCACTTAGCATAGTGTATTCAATGTTCATCCATGTTGTAGCATGAGTATCAGACAGTCGTTACTCTTTATAGCTGCCTAATATTTTGTTGTGTGTATACAGCACATTTTGTTCATCCGTTCAGTAGTTAGTGGCCATTTGGGTTGAGTTGTTTCTACTTCCTGGCTATTTTAAATAAGCCCACTGTGAACATTCGTATATGTTTTTGTGTGGCTATCTGGCTGTCTTCCTTTGGGTATATACCTAGGAGTGGACTTGTTGGCTCACATAGTAACCCTGTATTTAACCGTTTGAGGAACTGTCAAACTGTTTACCAAAGTGGCTACACCATTTTATATTCCCACCAGCAGAACTTGAGGATTCTAATTTCTCCACATCCTCATCAGTACTTGTTATTATCTGTCGTTTGTATTCTAGCAGATGATAGTGGGTGTGAAGTGGTATCTCATTGTGCTTTTGATTTACATTTCCTTTAATAGCTAATGATGTTGACCATCTTTTCATGTGTCTTTTGGCCAGTTGTATAACTTCTTTGGAGAATGTCTATTCAGATGCTTTTTTTTTTTTAATGTTTAGTACAATTCACCAGTGAAGCTGTCCGGGCCTGGGCTTTTCTTTGTGGGAACTTTTTGACTATTCATTCAATCTCTTGTTATATGTCTATTCAGATTGTCTATTTATTCTTGAGTCAGTTTCGGCAGTCTGTCTTTCTAGGAATTTGTTCTTTTCATCTAAGTTATCTAATTTGCTGTCATGCAGTGTCATAGTATTTCCTCATAGTTTTGGTTTTTTTTCTGTAAGGTCAACAGTAATGTGGGATTCGTTTTAAGTTCCTACTTCAAAAGCATAATGTGTTTGAAGTCATTGCAAAAAATAATCCTATAGAGCTATCTATTTTGATCTCAAAGCAGTGTTTACATTATTTACCACTGAGTAAAAGTAAAGTAGCAGAGAGAGTTCCTGTATTTATCCTGTTATTTCACAACCCTACCTTCTGAGCAAGGGGCAAGTAGCCCCACCTGAGATTAGCATGACAAGGTAAATTCTGCTCAGGGAATTTCCCGTCTCTTCCCAAGAGAGCCTATCTGTCCTAACTATGCTGAAGTCCTACATGGAATTGCCAGTGTTCCACAGCAGACTGACAAACTGGAGAAACAGGACCAGAGAGTTAACAGCTTTAATGTGCAGATAAGTCCACAGAGCCTCTCTGTACTCCCGTAACTGGGGAAAGCCAGGGGAAGGAGTTTTTTTTTGTCAGTGTGTGTATGTGTGTGTGTGTGTGTGTGTGTCCGTCCGTGTGTCTGCGTTCTCTGGTGTAGATGGCAGTGTAGAGACACCTGTGACAGTATCCTTTTATCTCTGAAATACAAAACAGCAAAAACTAAATTGCCAAAGTGAAGTCTTTTTTCCCCCAAATGAACACCAGAGAAGAATATTTTTAACAAAGCTACATTACAGATTATTTACTTTAAGGCAAGTCCTGTTCCTGTCATCATCAACAAATGAGATCCTCACCAACGTTCAGATGTTCCCTGCTGTACAAAAGAAAATGAGACTCCAGAATTTAACCGTATCTTTATAATAAACTAGTGGTCCTTAGCACCTACAGTAAACAAAGTGGCATTTACATAAATCTGAGATGGAAATGATAGTTTAATGGCTACATTAACTGTAACATTTCTCCCAAGCCCCTATAATTAATCACTTGAGTTAATGATAAATTAAGCACTCAGCTTCAGTTCCTCATAAAGATCATTATTAACTCATGTGTTAAATTTATCATAATAAAAAATAATCTATTTCTCCTGCTTTCTCTTTCTTAGAAAAATTGTTCTTGAAGACCACCTGCTATTTAGTGGTACACATATTTGGACCAGACATCATAAAACTGTGAGTTTGCCAGCACATTTAATCTGAATTGGGTGCTGGGATGTGGCGGGGAACAGGAAAGCTGGGAGGCAGCCGGCTCCATTTCCAGCAGGAGGTACTTACTGGACAAGGGCGGGAGCTGTATCCTGTGCTTGTTAATAGTGGGAAATTCTAACCAGACTCAGATTCTTTGTCACCCTGGGCGAAGGCTCCCCTTGAAGGCAGTGTAGCAGCCTGGTTCAGTTTCTCCCCAAGATGCTTCAGAAAGAATTTCACCAATAGTGCCAACCAAGGATGGGATTTTAGTGGCCAGACACAGGCATTGGACCCTTTCTTCTGAGCTTCCCCTTCACTCCCTCCTGGGTTCTCAGGTCACATGCTTCTCAGGTTCTTCCTCCTCCCCTCCCTTTCGCTGGTTTCCTGGCCTCTCCCCTTCCCCAGCCCTGCTCCCCTGCATTCTAGCTGGCCAAAGAGCCTTTTAATACAAAACTAATTATGGCAATCTCTAACATAAAAATTTTCATGCCCTTTGCAGGATTCTTTAGCCCCCCTGCAAAGCTCTTTATGAATTGGTCCCTGAGGACATTTTCAGACCCACCCCTGGCTGCAACCACGCTCCAAACCATTTGTAATTCTCCCCCCACACCAGAAGCTTTTTGCCTCAGGACCGTTTGCATAAGATGTTCCCTCGGCTTGGCACATCCAAAACCTCAACCCCAAACAAATCCTACTTCTTTGCAGTTAAAAGAAAGTGACCTGGTTCACAGGGAAACCCATTGCTCTTCTGTGGCTGGCTGTGGGCATTGAGTGCAAGAGCCAGTTAAGCATGGGATCAAAGAGAGGGCAGACAGACACTGTACCAGGAACTGCAGGTGTGGACTGGACAAGAGACAGCCCCCACCTCACATAACTACAAGTGGACACGGTGTTGAGAAAGAATGGGCCCAGCAAGCCATTCCCTGAGCATGTGGTGGGGAGGGGAGGAAAATTTTTCCTTTGAGAAAACTAATTCTTATTAGTATGGAGTGGGTCACTTTGAAGAATGACAGACATAATAAATGATCCCCCTTCGTGGTTCCATCCACTAGTAGTTTTGTTTGTGTGTAGTTTTCCAGTACCCATATTGATTGTTTGCTGATAGAAATTTCTCTTCTTATGATGCCCTCCTCTTACAGCTTGTTTTAATCAATCCCATACAATTCTGGGTTGATGTAGGTCCTGAAAATGACAACCTCATTATTTAGTCTTACCTGAATTTCAGGCTTCCAAGATTAAATGTGTTTCCTAACCCAGAGGGCATCCCTCCGCATTATATCAAACCAGTCAATTCTCAATGATTCATGGACTAATTATTCAGCAATTACATTTCCTACCCACAGGCGAACCACAGGATGTTGTTAGAAAGTGGGATACCTGAGCACTAACTCAGGCATTCATTCCTTCAAGAACTGGGGTCGTGCAGGGAAGGGCTGCTTCCAGGAGCAGCCAAGCCTAGCCAGTGACCACGTGCTGGGTCCTCCTGGTCTTAACTCCATTGTGCCAAAGGTTGTCATAGCAAGTCTGATCCTGGTCTTCTGTTCATCTCACCTTGCTTCATTGTATCTATTTATGCTCTAAATCATAAATTCTTCTATGCCAAACTTAGGAGCTCTTGAAGATCAGGAGAGGCCTAAACTACTAACGTTTTAGAAGAAAAAAATGCAAAACAGGGTTTATAACAATTATGATATACCCTAAATGTAATTAATGTCTTTTTAAATAGTAAAAATATTAAGTAATGTTACTGCACCATTCACAAGATAATGACAAGATTTATAGAGGAATGATTAAATTCGTAACGTGCTATAAAGAGTGTGGTCCAGAAGTGAGAGAAAAGTGTTCATTTGCATGAGGAAGATTTTTTGATGTTGTGAGTGTCTCTGTAGCTCTATATTAATGTATAAATCCTTCATTGAAATGGATGTCAAAGGTCTAAATTTGAGAGCTTTCACGTGTGAAAGGCCCTGTCCTTACTTCCTGCCATAGGCTATCACTCTGCCTGTCTGCTCAAACTTCACCCTGACCTTGCTACCTTCTTTTGATTTATGATGATAATGCTCATCAGCATTGACTTCCTTCTACCATGATCCTAATTAAACTTGTTAATTAGCTCTGCCAGATGTGTTGAAGCTTCCCTCCCTGCCCCCCATGCCTCACTCCTGCACACCTCTGTTACCTGTAAAGGTAGTCAAAGAGTGTAAATTAAAATGTGACCATTTTGGTCTTATTTGCTGTTCTGGGAAAAAGAAAGCAGTGTTGAGTAGGAATGGTTATTATGGCTGTGGAGATTTCCTACTACTTTCACAAATTATGTGTAGCCTGAGCCGTCTGTCCCAAGGTCGGTCAAGTGCAGAAGCGCTACTTTGCCACTTCTTTGCATGTTGCGTATTCTAATGGTCTTACACTTGTCTGAATGTATGAGGCTCAGTGTTTTCTATTCTTGTCCAAGAAGTGCTTCTCACAACTAGTCTTTTGATGATAAAGCTCTGGTCTTGGAGAATTTGAGAGGGACACCAAGTGCACAGTACCTCTCCTATTCTTCAGTTCAGAGAACACCAGCCTCACTCTCTGACTGAGAGGCCCCCATCTCCGCTCCCATATTCAAGTTCACTTACTTGAAATTGTGCTCTATTTGCAGGGGAAAGAGAATAGGTCTTGGATACCATACGATGAGTTGGCACTGGTGTTTCTGAATTGCTACAGATGGGATATTGGCCTTAAGTTAAAAAAAAAACCAAAGGAAGATTAAGCAGAGCCCTATTTATCACCCTCCTGAGTCCACTAAATACTAGATTCCCCACAAAGACAGCAGTCATCAGTTAAATAAATGAACCATTAAGCTGAGAACAGATGTGTGGAAACAGCCGCCCTCTCCTGATTTACTGACCCTTAGTAGACATTACTTAGGTAATGGACTTTATGTGTCAGAGACAGCTTGTCCCCCAGCCTTGTTACCTTTAAGTTACCTTCCCCTCCACCTCCCATGAAGGAACCCTGGGGCCAAGCAGATGACTCTCATGATGAACTCATTTTTCCCCTCTCAACTCAGGTGCTCGCAAAATGTTGAAAAGCCATCTTGCCAGCCACATGTTAGTCTCATTCAGCTGGAATGAAATTTGGGAGCCAGTCCTACCCTATGTTTTCACATACTAGTGACCATCAAAACAGTTGACGATCTCTGAGGTGAACCCCCTTTCTCCGATGGGCTTTTCCTTAATATAAGGCAGTTCTTTCTGCAAGAAGGTTCATGTTAGAAAGTAATTCTCAAGGCCCCTCCCAGCACTTTTTTGTTGGTCATCCACAGTTGAGATTACTCAAGGTATGAAAGATATTTTAATGTTCAGCAACCATTTAAACTGCTACCTACGCACACTAAGTGAAACTAGGGTGCTTTTCTGTTTTATTTTGTTTTGTTTGCATCTTATTACTGTTTTACCTCTAAATCGCATTGTTATTCTGCATGTCCAGGGATAAAACTCCCTTGGTCGAGTGGACAACCTAATGAAGAGTCTGTAGAATGCTTGTCAGGGAAATAAAGCAGAAACAGGAATGAAGTCAGGGAGCAGGTCCAATGACTTTCTTCCAGACCCTAATCACAGCAGCCAAGCATTGCCAAGTTAACCTGTGGTTCTCAAGGGTTAACCCATGTGTGGGCTGTGACTACCTTCAGTCAAAATAAATAAATAAATAAATAAAACGAAAAAAATACACCGAGCAATGACTTGGCTTTGCTTATGAAGTAGAAGGTAAAACAGGAGGTGGAGGGTTAGGGAGAGAAGAAAAATGGTTGTGATTGTAATAGTTTTAGAGATAGTCATTGTAATGGTTGAGGAGGGGTGTGGGGTATTGGAGTAGATTTATTATAAGGGAACCTAGAGCATTTTGTGCAACTTAAAGGTAAGTAAATATCCAGGCTCCAGACAGAAACTGTAAACAGGACTGGGACACCACAAGGAACACAGGAGCACACTCTTCTGAGTCTTCCTCACTGCAGACATTGGGTTCTGCCCCCTGAACCCCATTCTAGCTTTCTAAATGCTCTGTCTACATGGCAGGAAGTAACTTTACAGTCCCAAGTCACTATTACTACCATCACTGTTAGAATAGCCCAGAATGAAGTCAAACGTTTTAATACCAATTCCAAATTTCCATAGGAGAGAATCTGATTGGTCCCACTTGAACGGTAGTCTAATGAGGTCCAACCAGCTTGGCGAGAAGATATGGAATATAAACATGGTTGCCAGGAATCCACCCCTATGGGTGAAGGGGGCAGTTAAGTGATCATGTGAGCTGGGAAGAAACCCTCAAAAGTAACTGTCCTTCCAAGACTAGTCTCTAGATATTACCAACCTGTGTTTCTGGATTTTTTTGTTGTTGCTGTTCTGGTTTGAGTTTGAATCAATAATTTACCTGGGAAAGTTACTAAAATTCCATACATGACTTGTTCCTTCATTTGAAGCAGCACTTTATACTTATTCTTCTTGGTTTAAGAAGAGTGTTGGGGGTGTCAGGTAGAAAGTGAATATGGAAGGTTTGTTTTAGCCCCTTCAACCCTAGACATACACCAGAATGTTTGATGAACACTATCCTGACACCATCCCCGGGAAAAAAGTGAACTGTACTGTATTTCCTTCCATAAGGTAAAGAAATATATTTACTTTAAAAGGAAAGAGATGATTTGGATTATGCCTGAGAAAATAATTTTGGATGTTTAAGGCTATATCATAAAGTTTTTTTGCTGTAAGTTTCAGCAAACTCTAAAATAGTGTTCCAATCAAATATACCCCTGTCCATTTTTCCTTTCCCACTTTTATTCATGGCTTCTCCTGAAAAGAATCACAGTGCCCATGTGAGACGCTGACTTACAGCTCAGTGCTGTTGGCGCCCTCTCCCCACCCCCAGGACTTCATTCTAAAAGTAGGAGAGTGTAAGTGGCAGGAAATCGTTACAATCCAACAGTTACACGGGACTGGACTCAAAGGCCATGATAGAATCCATTCTGGGGATTTACCTTCTTTTGAAATAGCTTCTGTTTCCTAATGCCTGGGAGATCTTAAATAGCCTTTGTTTTGGCCCATTTTCCTCTAGGCTTAGCGCAGATATGAATGCCGATGTTGTGTGTCACACCCTGGAGTTTTGTAAACAGGACCCTGGCCAGCCGTTTTGTCACCTCTATCCCCTTCCCAAGGTGAGTGGTTTCTCACTCTGAATGTCAGATTACATGCAAGCCCTTTGGAAATGTTTTCAAGGGAGGCTCAGCCTCAGTAGCTCAGTGGTTTGGGGACAGGGGCAGGAAAATGACATTTTCCATTACATTGCCTGGAATAATATTCCCAAGTTTTAGCCTAGATCCCTCCCCCATGCTGCTGAAGAATTTCTTGGCTGTTTATTTTGGATGGTAACCTAGAGCTGGGCTGGCAGTAGGTAGGAAGTCTGACCAGCCAAGGTGAGAAGAGGTTAAATTCCTCTCTACCACTTTTAAATCAAGCAAGTCATTTTTATAGAGTGACCAACTCTTCCAGTTTGCCCAAGACTTTCCTGGTATAAGCACAGGGAGTCACATCCTGGGAAAACCCGGGAAGTTGGCCACCCTAGTCTAATCCTTATTGTTCTCACCTATAAAATGGGTATAATAAAATACCTGAAACACCTCCCTCATAGGTTTGTTGTGGGAGGTAGGTAAACTAATATATATAAAATGCTCAGCACAATACTTGCTGCGTAAGTAAGTGTTAATAAAAAGGTAGATAATGTAATTATTACTAATATCATTATTCAGAGATAGCTGGTCAGAATACTCTGTGTGCACTATATCATATTGGACAATTTTTCATTGGACTTCAGGCAGAGACAGGTGGCAAATGTTGACAGGATTTCCTGTTCACACTCTGAATGAGACTATAATTAATATTAATTAATATTATTAATTTAATTAAATGTAATATTAAATCCAGATAGGCCTCAAAATAATGATTTTCAGAAACTTCCTGTGAAAGTAAAATAGTAAAATAAAATTCTATGCCCCCTTTCCTAGAATTGTAATTTTTCTGTGTATAATGCAACAGGCTTCTGTTTTATTTGCAATTTTCTTTTTATCACGTGAAAATAAAGTCAGTTTAACACTTTGTGGCCTAACCAATGAACGTGATTTTGCTGACTGGCAATATTAAATATTATAAGCCTGTCTCTTTAAGCAAGAAGAAAGAGATGCAAATGCCTGGGGCACGCATGCATTTCATGCTACCTTGGTCATTGACTAAGTGCCAATTAAATTTTGCCTAATTTTACCTTAGAAACTGTGGGTTCCACTGGGTTCTAGAAGAATTAGTTAATTTTAATTAAAAAAAGTTTTTTCCTGTGTTCGAATGGCATGTGAATATAGTATTATAATATCCACTATTGATAATGAACCAAGGAAACATGTCTCCACATATAAAGGCAAGTGATACGGGTTTTTGTGATTTCCTTAAATAACATCATTTTATATATTTTTCACACTCACAGCTATACATAGTCACAAAATGTTCAACTTTAAACTATCTCATTTAAAATGACATTCTTTATTTTTATACTTTCTGGCTGGGAGGAAATTGGAGGATTTCATCTCAAAAATGTTTAGCTCCCACCCCAGCTGAGCATGCTCCCTGGTCAGCTCCCTCCACCCTCCTCCTCAAATCCCCATAGACAGCTTCTGTCTCTACAGACGACCCAGAAAAGAGGGGCAGTTGGTGGAAACGTGGAGAACTTCATCCTCTTCTGCCTCCAAGACTTCCTTGCACAGCAATTACAGTGCTTACTCTTCATCTGGTTTCATCCCCCAAGTAGCCCTGACATAGAGGCGCCATTTTGACCCCTTTCATAAGACTGAGGAAACTTGAGGGTTAAAGAGGTTACAGAACTTTCTGAAAGTCGCTCCCTTGGGAAAGACCAGAACTGAGATTCTCATCCTTGTCCACTCAGAGAGGTTGGTTGGTCTCTTAACTCTTGTGTCAGTGTTTCTTGAAAATCCCCTCCAGGTGTCTCTTCACAGCAGTTAACTGAAATCCCACCACCAGAAATAACCAATGTTAAAATATTGGATGTTTTTCTTATAAGTTTTAAAGAAATCACCATTATATTCACTTCTTTGAGAGTTATGGTAATGTTGTATATACAATTTTTTTATCCTACTTTTCCCTTTAACGTAACGTTTTTAGGATGCGTTTTTGTTAAAACGGTACATATCTTTTTATTCCCATGACACACAAATTACACCTCCACAGCAGGTGTGAATTAGTAGGTAAAGATTCAGCTCTAATTTCCAGCCTGCCAGAAGCCTTCCTCATGACCCTCCCTGTTAGTAACCCCCTGACAATGTAGTCACTATTCTAAAATTTGCCACCACAGATTAGTTCACTTATATAAAGTTCTCTTCTTGAATTTCATACAAATGCAATAATACAGTATGTTCTCCTTTGTATCTGGCTTCTTTTGTCTGTGAGATCCATCCATTTTTATGAGTAATGGTATCACAGCATGAAGTATTCACACAATTATCTTTTAATGTTACTCCCGCTATTACCTTCCAAACTAGTCCAACCAAGTCTGTGCTTACCCTCTTTCCAAAAAATCTTCCACATGGATGCCAGAAATGTCTTCCTATAAGATAACTACGATCTTGTCATCCCACCCCAGCACCTTTGCCTGAGGGATGAGGACATTATCCCTGACTCCTTCTACATACCCCTCTTGTCCAAGAAGCTGTATGTTCTTTGTTTGAACTTGCTTTGTTTTCCATGATCTACCTGTGTGATTGCGTCTGTCTCTCCCACTGGACTCTAACCTCCAGAGGACAGGTTCCATCTTGCTCATCTCTGTATAGAATGTCTAGGATGGGGCCTTATACATAACAAAGAAGTTTTTGTTGAATGAATAAATGAAGTGTCACCAATTTCACATTTGCATTGCTGTTGGAAATTCTAATTTTCCTCACCTCATGGCCACGCTAATTCCCCAATGCAGACCTCTGATCCTATTATTTCCCCAGCTTACGATCTCCACCCAATTAAGTACACATCTGTACTTAGCATCTCAGGATTCTCAAAAAGCCTTCCTGGACCTCCACTGTAGGCCTTGTGTATCCCATGCTGTAGCCAAAAAAGGAGTGATTGCCTCCCCTGTTGAGCCTACCCCTGTACCTTTGTTCTTAATCATTCATTCCACCCAGAATGCCCCATCAACACCAGGCCCATCCTTCAAGCTCATCTAGGTGTCACCTTCTCTGTAAAATAGTTCCTGATCCTCTCCACTAAATGTTAACTCTCCTCTCAGTCATCATCATGAAGTACCTTTCCGAGTACCACAGTGTGCCAGTACTGTTCTCAGTGCTTCATTTGTATTAGCCGTTTAATCTTGTGAAGTAGGTGCTGTTGTCCACAGCAGCAATAGATGAGGGAGGGGAAGCACAGAGACACTGAGGTACTCAATTCACATACATTTCCTTATTAGAATGTAAACCTAGCGGGCGGCAGATCTGTATCTTGCCCATCTTTCTTTCCTCTGTCATGCCGGGTGCACGTACTCGGGATGTGGGTAACATACCAGGCATTGCAGTTCACATTTGTGATCTCATTACCAGTGCTCTTGGGAGTGTATCTGTTTTACAGAGGAGGAAATTGAGGCCAGGAGAAGATAAGGTGTTTGCCCGGGTTACACAGCTAGTAAATGACTAGAAGGGGATTCAGCCCCGGGTCTGTTTGTCCTTAAAGCCCAAGTTCTTACCACTGTGCTCTACACCTCACTAATAATCCCTGGGGTATTGTTACTTTGAGTTGAACCACTGCTCCTGGGCCAGCTAATTCCTTACAAGCAGAACTCTGCACCCTCAATGTCCTGCTTTTCATACGTTTCAGATTCTTGTAAAATATAGTGTGATGCAAGCCATCATCCCTGTGAAATGCATGCTGTAGGTAGAGGGACGAGGGGCCCCTCTGCTCCCAGGGCTTGCAGTGGGGAGCCCAGCAGTGTAAACCAACAGGGGTCTGACTTTAGTGGGGCCAAAACCAAAATGTGCAATGGCGTGGAGGGATCGCAGTGAACGTCATCTACAGCGACGTTGAAATTCCAGCCCACTTCTCGACAATCCTTTAGCCACATCATTTCCTTCTCTACCGTGTGCTCAAAAATGACAAACTCCTTCCATAATTAATTGAAGCAAGAAATAGTCTACAATGTTCAGCACCAGGAGGACAGAGTGGGGGACGAGGGTCGGGGGAGGGAAGAGGAGGACAAGACGAGGGCAAAGAAGAGAGGAAGGAAGGAGAGGGAAGAAGAGAGGAAAAAGAAATTGCAGACCGTGTTATCGAGACCACCCAGACAGTTTTGTGTTACCTACTTTGGGAGAATCATATCATTCCTCCTCTCATTTACACATAGAACAAGGCACTGCCTGCTGCCAGTGTGTGTATGTGTGTTTGTGTGCATAGGCACAGTTCTGACACCACAGCTGTCCAACTCCATCTGAAAACTGGGTGTGGTTTCTTCATGTGCACCCTGTTGCTCTTCAAACCTCTCATCTTTAGATTGGAGTGTTAAAGTGCAGAAGCACCTATTGAGCCCCGTGCCACCTGGAGCCTCCTCAGTTTTAAGCTTCTCCTTCCTGGGTCCCCTGACTCTGAGATCCCCAGGCAGGCCCTGTAGCTTTTTTTTTTTTAATAACTGAAGTATAGTTGATTTACAATGTTGTGTTAGTTTCTCGTGTACAGCACAGTGATTTAGTTATACATGTATTCTTTTTCACATTCTTTTTCATTATAGGTTACTACAAGATAATGAATATAGTCCTTTGTGCTATACCATAGGACCCTGTTGTTTATCTATTTTGTATATAGTAGTATGTATCTGCTAATTCCAAACTCCTGATTTATCCCTTCTCCCCTCCCCGACACTTTCCCATTTGGTAACTGTAAGTTTGTTTTCTATGTCAATGAGTCTGTTTCTGTTTTATAAATAAGTTCATTTGTGTCATTTTTTTAGATTCTGTATGTAAGTGATACCGTATGATATTTGTCTTTCTCTGTCTGACTTCCTTCACTTAGTATAATAATCTCTAGGTCCATCCAATTTGCTGCAAATGGCATTATTTCATCCTTTTTTATGGCTGAATAAATTTCCATTGTGTGTGTGTGGGTGTGTGTGTATGTGTGTGTG